CACCGGGAGCGAAACTTTTTCTCCAAGTTATCTGAGCCCCGTGCCGAATAGCTATAAACTTTAAGTATGAGATATTGCCCTCGCGCATTTTTATAAGCGATCGCGATCGATTCGCGCCAAGTCTTGCCGATTACTCGAGTGTGCTCTGTATCCAATAAGATTCGTGTCGAATGTCGAATAAACCGCGCGAGCGCGCGTGCGACCTAGATATTCAGCGGATAGATATTACAAAACATATTTCACACGAGCTCGATCATATCTATATCCTCGATTACGCTGAATTTTAGTATGCGGAATAAGTTTATTGCGCGACGAGAGAGAAACACATTTCTCCACACGAAATTTCACACGGATAACTTTACGAGGATATGCAAGAATCGCCCTCTCTAGAAAAAGTCTATGCTACTATTTTCATTCCCGCTAAAGCGCATCTCCCCTCCCGGAATGTTCTCTCTCTAAAAGTGGTCCAACATTCATTTCGCGAGATGCAACAGCGGCATGCCTCGCTTTTCGCAATCTAATTTTCACCGGCGTTTAATCTTTGTGTACACTCTCTCCTCGCGTGTAACCCAGCCGCGCGAGTCTCTCAGAAAAAGGATGGAGAGTGGCTGGGCACGTGTAAGCTTTTTCAATATTTTTCAAACCGTGCTATTACTCCCGCCTTGACAACAACGCATCCCCTTCTCTCGCGTGCTTTTCTTTTATCGTTTCCGTCGAAATCACATTCATCGGCTTTCATCGCGTTTTTTCTTCCCATTTCTTTCTTCTTTATCGTCTCGTCGTGAATGATTTACTCGCGGGAAATAAATAAATTGGAAATGTGAAACAATTTTGAATAGATAAATGTCGACGGCTGAAACAAATTTTCAGTCTTCAAATATTTGTACCACATTTTCGAAGCACGCGTTCCAATTATATCAAAAATATATTGCGGAGTTAATTCTTCGCCACAATTGGTTCGAAATTCATAAAGATTATGTCTCGTTGTATTCCCGAGATATATATTTTCAGCTAACAGTCACGTATGATAAATCAATTATCGGAATATAATAGGTTAATAGCCCTCTCTCTGTGCTAGATATAACTGCGGCCAATGAATGTACGCGCGCGTCCGCCAGCTTAATTTCGATCTATTCAAATTAAACAGAAATTAGTTTGGCATTAATAATTATAACTATTGCGCACGTAGAGACACTTTGTATCGAATCGTATGTATATAATTTATTTTTTACTTAGACCGTAGAGAGTGTGTGTGGAAAGATGATTCAAATATCATTATCAGATTTCAGAATTATTATTCCGCGGTAGCTAATAATTGTAATAACTGCGATCCCGAAAAACGAAGCGAAATGGCTGCGGCGGTATAAATTACGCGAACAATTAAATTGAGCAAATTGCTTATTGGCATTGTTATGCCTCTCGCGCGGGCTTTACTTGTATCACGTTTTGAATTGCTGACTAGGATCGAGAGGATGGGGAAATGTATACTCTCGCAATAGTAGGGACGGTCTTTCTTCGCGAACGAGATCTCTTTCTCTCTCTCTCTCTCTCTCTCTGTGTTTCCCCGTTCATCGACTTTTAATGGAATCGAGCAAACGGTCACTTTTAGCAACGGAAGATCGAAAACTGCTGCAGTTGGGAAATTGATTCGGGGACCGCGTCGGAATTTATCTGGCATCGCTCTTCCGTATAAAGCAGAAGTTCCGGAGACTCGAAAACGACATTCCGTAATTCCACGCATTGTGCATTTTTACTTGATTTAACTATACATGGTTAAAATTTTCGTAATATAAGTATCAATATCCGAGATTTCAATTATGACAAATGATTTTTAAACGTAGTTATATTTCATAAAGCTAAAAACGCGAAAACTGTGAAATTAACGTAATTTTTTGACTCGCGAACTATATAATTCCGTTTATATTTATCGGGGTCTTTTCAATTGTGACAACGATTACGTTATCTACTGCAATATGCAAAGATAAACATATTTGCGTGAAAATTAATATCGCAAGTTCACGAGATAAAATCGCGGCAAATTATACAAAAAGCACGGATATATGGCGAAAACAGTAAGAGTCGCGGTCTCGTTATGCGTATATGTACTATATGTATTCTATGTGTACGCACAGAACGACCGTGGTCAACTAATGGACCTGTTACGAGCAATTCCGGTAGAACGACAATTGCGCACGGCGGGTACAATGCACATTCGTATATAAGAGTAATTCCGAATGAGCAATTCGATCAAAAATTACCTGCGTTTCGCGCTCGTGAGCGTTGGCGGAATAATATTTAGCTTAAATTGCGCGCACATAAACGCGCAATATGTTTGTGCGAAGCGGCATCCAAACTGCATTTGCAGAATTAGAGTAGTCTGTATCTGTCAACTGGCAGCATCGTCGAGTCTCTTTTCCGCAAATTTAATTTTACATCGCGAAAACTATCGCTCATTTCTTAGCTACATATATCTTGTCTTCGTTTCTTTCGCGAAAGAAAGCCTGCCTTTATAAAATCAGCTTGTGTTACTTACCTTGGAAAATTACTTCGCCGTTGATCAAATTTATATAATATAATTTATGATCACCTATTCTTTCCGCGATCTTATCTTTTCCTATTTGCATGAAATTATATTACACTTATTCTTATAATTATATGTACAAGTTCTAAGATCTATAAGTTCTGAAAATTGTAGAGAGAGAGAGAGAGAGAGAGAGAGAGATCGGAGAACTATAGTTTTAGAATTTAAAACTTTGTATAAATGTTCCCAGAAATAATGCAGTTAGTTCTCTGAAAATTTGAAAGTGAAAGCCGCACACAGATCAAAGACATTTTAAAAATACTTGCTGCATATTGCGGGATGTTGCGCATCAGCGCGTTTACCACAATAAATCGTTATTATTTTTCAATACATTCTTCCTTTAATGGGCGATAAAAAAAAACCTACCACTTGTGATAATACGACATTTTATGATAGGATAGTGACCGTTCTAAAAACCCTGCAATAAAAATGTCGCGCGAGCCGCGAAGTTCCGCAAACACTCTCGGGGCGGTTGCGCTTCGGATTAAAAAGTTTTTTACTGCGTGCGATGCGCTCCGACATCGTAAAAGTATGTCTAATGACCTAGAAAGAGGAGATGCCGCGCCGTAGCAAGTAGTAGAAGTCGAGTTTATCGCGTACCGGGACACCCGTAAACGTTCGCCGGACAGGTATTTTTCGGTCGTGAAACGATCGTATAAACGCCTGCATTAGCCCCCGACAGCGCCGAGATAAACATTCTTTCAGCATTCCGTCGGCTGGAAAATCACATTTTATTATTATCCATTAGTCTAGCCCCGCGATGAAATCGTTTCGGCGCATCGAAAACAATTAAGAGAACCAACGACGTTCGGCCAATGTTCGACTATGAAAAGATAAGACTGCTCCGTTTATTTTTATTTCGACTCTTACAACTCTCGCGAGAAAAAATGTTCATAAATGACGTATCGATTTCTACCTGTCGTGGAGTTGCGACGCGATCGCAAAGTTCCAGAGACCAATTTAGTAGTCACTGACGGTAGTCCCGCTCCAGATAGCGCAACTCTAAGCGCCCGTCCCTTTCCCGGGACGATTCTCTCTCTCCCTTTCTCTCAGGAGGACGCGCGACATCAGAGCGAAGCGCGCGGCTGACAAAGGAGCGCGTCACATTCATCCATCTTGCACCGGCCGTCTCTTTATTCCCGGGGTTAAAAGCGTAGCAGCAGAGGCAATTTGGACTTCCCGCTGCACTAAATCCACTAATTTCGGTCACCGACTTCTGGCCCAGTGTATTCGTGCGGCCGCCGCGCGTCCTGCGATCGATGACGAGAGATATATACGTCGCTACCCGACGAGTATAAATTTCGCGAGTGCAATCAGATCGGATTTTTAACGTTAATTCGTAGAGGGCTGCAAACGCCCCGCTCCAGGAATCCGATACAATTATCGGCAACATTATTCCCGGCGTTTCGATCCTTTTACGAGAGAAATGCACGAAAATCCCCGGGATATTCCGCTCTTCTCGACGCGATGATAGTCAAGATGGTTCTGATCATTTTTTTGCCTATCAAGATTTTTTTCTGTCTATCGCATAAAGCTCTCGACGCGCGCAATCCGTCATCCCTTTTTACATTTCACCTAAAATCTACGAAAGCCATTTTAAATGATGGAAAGTAGACTAATGATCCGAATTGCGAAAAGTGGACTAATTACCTTAGCAGAACCCCGACCTGGAAAGAAAATGTCTGCGTAACCGAGGGCTGCACTTTTCCTTTGCAAATTAACGTTTTCCATGCCGGTCGAGCAAGCGAGCGTAACTGTGAACTTTTTACTTTAAATTTTAATACGAGAAACGTTAAGACGCATAATTTTCACGAACGAACGCTTTATATGACTTTTCTGCTGCTTTGCGATTCTTTATTAAAAGATTACATGGTTTTTCACTGCAAATAAATGATAAAATTTTTACTTCGGTACAATTCCAGTTTGTCAATTTTCCAAAATAAATATTAATATTTTATATAATTTTACTCTGCTGTGTTCTTGGAATAAATATCTTTACTACACATAAATTTAATAAAGTCTTTATTATGCGCGCCAAGTAAAATTGAAGATTTCACATAAAAGAGGCTGCGAAAGGAAAAGATTTTTCAAAATGAACTGTACCTATATAATATAGACATTTAGCGTGAGAGAAGAATTATAATTAATGACTATTTATGAAAAATATTTGACATATACCTTATTTTGCAAAAGAAAAGAAAGTAAATTGCGAATTAACAAATCGCAGCCTTTTTCATATCGAATTCTCCAATTGACGGGAAAAAGAAGTTATATTTTTGTCAGAAAAAATACGTGACGAACCGAGCCTTAAAAAAAGCAGTTTCGCCGCGATATAGACCGTATGATATAGAGATCAACGACAATTGTATTGTGCGAGCCGAGTCTAATCAAAGAATCCCGTATGATCTTTTGTTCGCAGGTCCACCGACAATCCTGGTGAAGCCGCAGTCACAGCAGGTGAAGGCAGGCGGGATAGCGAGTTTCTACTGCACTGCGGAAGGAGCACCTCCGCCGCAGATACACTGGCGAAAGAACGGCAAGAGAATTTCACGTAAGTTCGTGTGCTCTTTCGCGAGAAATCCTCCCTTTCTTGCCCCATCTCACGGTTTGCATCGTCCGCTTGAAATCGTCACCGCCCGTTCGTTGAAAGTGCCCAAGGGTGCGCTTTTTGGCGCTTCGTATAACCCGCGCGTCTTCGGGGGATATGGGTCGTTGCGGTGAAAATGAACGCGGACAAAAATTCTATCGAAATTAAAAACTTCTCTAACCGGGATTCGCTTTCTCGTCCATTCCGTTTTATCGTCCCGCGCGCTGCATTCTGCTGCAAAGTGCATTTTCCGTTTATTGCGCGTCTCGCTTATCTGCGGTGTGCTTTTTGTCCAACCGGTGAGATTTTTGCGCTAACCAGTAACGGTAGCCAATCGAGGTCCCTTGAATGAATTTCGCTAAAGTGCACGTGTCACTTGACATTAAATTTTCTTTAATTTTAACTTTGATTCTCTCTTTAATTTTGTTTAATCTCGATTGAATCAAATATCTCGGCCGCTCGAATTATCGTGACAATGATTCCTCAAGAATGGTTTCCCACGCAACGTTTACAATTAGAAGACTGATCCGCTGAATATATGTATCCGAGCGGTTCGGTGAACGACTCACTAATCCGGACGAGGAATATTCAACATGATAATAGCCGGCGACCGCTTGTAACATTTTGGACGGACAATTCGCGCGGTTGAACGCGAGCGGACGGGGAGAAGAGAGACGATAACAGGGGCAGGCCACCCCACACGAAATTTATACAGACGCGCGATCCAATTCCCATTCAATATTTCTCGGGCCGCGGAATTGGATACGAGAGAGGACACACATACATATATAGATGCCCCCTTTTATTAGATTCCGCAACGGCGCAATTTTCGATCTTATATATACCGCGGCCGTGTGAATCGTTGGTTGCCGCCACCGATCATTTTCGCGTGTGCCCCCGGTATTTTTCTCTCGCCTTTTGTGACGGGGGAGTATTCCTTTTCACGGGGTGTAAAAAGACGTCCGCCTCAATCTTCCGTCTTATGTCGGCAGAATCCCAGTCTCGCTACGTGGTGCACCAGTATGAAAATGGTGCTTTACTGCGGATCGAACCTGTCAAGCCCGGGCGCGATAATACCGTCTACGAGTGCCTAGCTGAGAACGGAGTCGGCGACGCTGTTTCGACCGAGGCTACGCTCACCGGTTACGAAGGTAAGTGAGAGTTTCCGTTACTATCGATATCTGCGTCTAGTTGATAAGCGAGCCAACTCCATTATGCAGCGAGGAAAAAAGTACATTCCCGAAAACGAAAATGTCTTTTATATAAATCGACGCTTTCGTTCAATTATAGGTACTATATTCAAATCGGTAAAAAGATAAGTAAAAAGATCGTTAATCTTGTTGTCTTCGAAACTCATTTATCTGATTATTATTTGTCTTCCGTTTCTCGATTAAATAACAAATAATATCAGATTTAAACTTTTTTTTTTTATAGTATTTTATTTTTAAAATCAATCATAAATTCAATCTCTCCGCCATTCTCTCTGCAATATCACACGCGCAATATATATCTATTTTTCAAGAATATATAAAACACAAATCTATCTTATTTCCTTAAAAATTTGCGATTGCGTATATTGGTTTATTCAAAAGTTTTAAAAAGTTTCGTAATATGCGACATGTCGCGAAAGTTTGCAAAGTATAAGTATCACATTGAAGAATATATTATAAGACGCTATTATTAATTGCAATTACGCTGTAAGCTGAAGTAAGATAATAGAATCTTGCGCAAGCGTGAAAGCATACGGCAATAAGGATTTCTCAGACAGAAATACATAGATAAAACGTAACGAATTTCGTGTCGCGGAAACCGCGGAGAGATGCATCACTCATCTCTGTCGTGTAAAATTTTTGCTTTTACGATGGCACTGCATGAAAGAAGGAAGAGGAAGGGACTCTTATTTCGAAACTACATGCCCCAGCATAATTTTCGTCGGCAAGCTCGTGCTCTCAAAAGGACTACGTTATACGGGTATGGCGAAAAGTTCTAGTTTTATCCTTCTGGTAGACCGTGGCTGGTAGCAGGGTGGTACCGAGAGAGCACACGGTTTTGTGTTTTATAACAAAGTCACTTGCCTTGGGAACAGTTTTCCCGGGCGATACCGCGTAATAACTATTAGCGCTATCGGGGACGTCGCGCTGCGTTGTTTAATATTTAAAGGAAGCTTCCGGGACAGCTGCCACCGTTTGGTAATGTTCGAAGCTTTAAGCTTCCTATCCCGTGTAGTTTGACTGTATCGCCCGGCTTCGAAACTGTTTAGTGATTTAAACCTCGCTTAAACGTATGTTGAGTCTGATGCTGACGTGGACGGCTATGCATTATTCATTTGTAATTTATATCCTTAAAATCGGCAATCTCATAGGTTGCGACGCACATCGCTCCTTAATCACTGCTAATTAAAAAAAAATATCTTGAAATTTTTCGCCCACGTATTAGAGTAATTTATAAATGATTGAAAAGTAAAATGCATATTGTAGCACTTTGCTTGATTCCGCCTAGTCACATTAATAGATAGCAAAGTGAATCTTTTTGAAATTAAACAGAAACTTTGCCGAATCCTTCTCTCGCTGCTTTCGTAGTTATGCGATATTTATACGGAAGAACGAGCAACTTTAATGCTGTCCAGTTCAGTGACTAGATGGCAGAGACGTAATAGAAAGAGAAAAAAACATGGTACCGCTAAACCGTTTACCCCTTTCTCAGAAGAGAATCCGTTAAGCTTTTGCGAAACGCTTTAACTGGCTTGTGGTCAGATTTTCGACTCTAATTTCACTCCGCGAATATTTTTGCTCGCACTTTTCGCAACGGAGAAGAAAAAAGATAAGCATTGGACTACATTTGCGCTTCCTTTTGTAGCGTTTTCCCGAGCTTTCTTTATTCCGTCTTGCTTCCATTCATCGATGAGCCGGGTGATCCAATATGCGCGCCGAGCTTTTTGTTTTTTTTTTTTTTTACCTCGATTGTCGTGCATTTCCTGTCAATGCTGCTCTCGCATCCGACAGTTTCTCATAAATCACGGATATTCACTTGATTCTCTGAAACCTGCGCCATGATTTCAATTTATTTGTTATAAAGTTGATTCCGGGCAGATGAGCGTGTTCCCATGGGCGCAATAATATACGCGCGCGTGCGCGCGGGCCACCGTGAAATCAGCATTCGTCAAATTGATCGTCAGTTTTCGCCCCGTGCCGTTTTATTTGCGTCTCTATTTTATTTGCGGATCATTAATGCGCGCGTCGCATCGGTCGATAGAGAGAGCGAGCGAGCTTTCTCTGATGAATGAAAATAATTTTAGCGAGGCATCTCTTGCAAAACAAAATGCATTCCGCGTCGACCGCGCGCGGCATCATTTGCTCGTCCGCTTCCGCTTAACACTGAGAATTAATTCAACGAGCCCTTACTGGACGGCCTACCGGACGAGGTTTTTTTTAAAGAAAAATCCTCTTGACAAAAGACACAATTAATTCCCCCTGTGTATTCTCAAATTAAAATGCCGCATTGAAGTTGTGCGCCATGAAAAGAGGCGATCGCGTTTGCTAATTGCACGCTAAATCGCAACCATGGGAGCTAAACACGTATTTTCTCGTTGAAAGTTCGCTAATCGCTGACGTCTCGGCAACGTACGCGTGTGCTTTTATATCTGTACATTCTTCTAATGTGTCTCCGCTTGTGTCGTAAAATTGTTGAAGCACGGTTCTTTTTTTTTTTTTTTTTTTTTTATTCGCGGAAACTATTTTTTACATCTCGCATAAAAAACTTTTAAAAGCGATTATCCAATATTTTAAGGCAAGTTTTTTAATTACGAAAATTGTTTGAAAGAAACGATATATTCTTGATAAGCGATATTTTCGCGAAGTCTATATGCTACCCTATTTATCACCACACGTAAGCTCATGTCAGCCATATCGACCCCCTGCTGTACGTATACCACGCAAACTTCGTTATCCAATCCATTGATACGATAAATACCTGCAAGCTCGCGGTAAAGCCTCATTCGGATAATGCGATTAATTGTTAGCCGAGGCATGTAATGATATAATGACGCGCGGTTATATGATACGCGCGCATATACAGAAAACAAAAACGCACAAACGATTAGTCAAATAAATGAAAATATTGACCGAGCCACCCACATAGTTTATTTGTTTCATTTGTCGTACTTGAAAAATACAATACATCGCATTCTTTTGCGATGTTTATTATTAGATAATGCCGCATTAAAAACGATAATTATGCGCTATCGCGCAATATCGTTATTTTCATTAAAATAAAATTTGCACGCTTATCAAAATATCTCTGGCTCAAATATATATTTCGGTAAAGTTGTTCCATACAGTAATAACATATATTCGATAATTGCATCGCATCTCGTGCTAGTATCGGATAAATCGAACGCTTGTAAAACCACAGTAAGAGAGGGAGGTGTGCGAATGCGATGTTGATGCGCGAGGAACATCGGATATAATGTAAGGATCAACAGACATTACGGGAAACACCCGCATTGCCGTAGTAGAATTTTCATGAGAATTTCGTTCCTCTTTTTCCTCCATCTTGTAGATACCGCCATTCTTTCTTACGGCAAAAATCTGAAAACCATTTCGAGATACGTGGCTGGAAACATCGTACTGGCTTGTTGTTATTATTGCGGTTTTATTCCGAGTATCTACCATCTATCGTAATCCGGGATCGCACCAGCATTACGAATTGTTTGTCAATCTTATCGAAATCATAAAAATGTACTTTCAACGACGAAATAGTATCTTGCAAATATCACGATAAAAAAATGTTAGATTTCAAGAACTATAATTATTGACACAAGCGTAATATGTAAAAAGAAAACTTTTAATGGACATAATATTTTCAGATTTTATCATTTTCCCAAAAGAGCTTTTTCTTTTCTTTGAAGGAGGACGAGATACTTAATTTGATTAATTCAGGATATAAAATTATATTGCTATTCGATCATATTCGTTTTTCTCGATACAGATCTCGTTATTGACTTTGTCAAGAAGGAAAGTATCTAGACTCGCTGTTTCTGAGCAAGAACATTAAACAATATTTGAATTTAATGCAAGAGTAATTGCGCGCCAACAAGTAATAGAATAAAAATGTGCACGATTTACGTGAGAAACTTGCCGTGATGGCGACACGGCAATTTCTCGCTTCGGGATTCCCCGAAGCGCGGCTGCAGTTCTTGCGCGTGCACGAACAAAAACTCGATTGTTGAATTATTGGTTGCGTTTCTCTCGACGGGATAATGTCATTTTCCAGTGACATGTTCTTGGATCGATGTTTCCCTTGTGCGAACAAAACAACGCACGTCCGAGAGCTCCGGAAGTTTCGACGACAAATGGAAGGTCCGATTCGACAATCCTCTCGTTTCCCGCGTTTTCGTTCCACGGAAAGTCATGCAATGTTAAAGGGCGGGATTGTGTGTCGTGTCACGTTTTCATTCCCGGGGCGATTCATCGCGCTCTATCGCTAAATGCACAAAGTATATTAACCTTCCTGATGATGCTGCCCCAATTTCGCGTCCCCTGCAGGGAGTTGGAATTAAATTTGCACGAGGACTAAGTGGCGTCTTTGGTTCTCGTAGCCGCGTAGCCGAGCGAACTATCCACTTCGTTCTGCATTCTCCGCATCGAAACGTCGAAAGTTCGATGGCAAATTGCACCCTCTCCTCCCCGTTCTCCCTTCCGAAACTCTGTTTCGGAAATAATTCTTTTAGAATGCCGTCGGCCACTGAAGCAACAGAGAAGCGGAAAACGATCTCGTTTTAATTGCTATTGTACAATCGGCACCCGATGTAAGAACGCGATGAACGGTCGACGGTATTCAGAATGGAAATTGCGTTAAATCCTGCACAATGAACAATGGCTCTATGGCGAAACGCGCACTGTGTTATCTTATTTCTTCCGCTTTGCCGCAGCTCGTAGAGCGGTAATTAAGAGAGCGTTACATTGCGAGGATCGATGCATTGCGATAACAGCGGCATTATTTTAATGAGGCGTTGTAATATTCATTTTAATTTCTTACTCTTTTGTGAGATGTTTCTTTAGACTTTGACAATCTTATAGATTAAGAAGTTTATGTAAATTACTTAAATGACATAACTAGCCACTTTTTATATCTTTAGACTTTTATTGAATTT